ATGAGTTGAGAAAATGCTAATCATATGATTTATTACAATTTACAATTTTAAATTAAGAAAAGCATAATTTTCCTTAAATTCCTAAAGTAAACTAAAAAAAATTAAATTAATTCCAATTTGTTAATCATACGATTACAACAATCAGCCATTTATAAGGCTTTTTTTCTCAACAAAAAATTTGAAAATTTGAAACCTTTTATCTTATCATTTATTGTAAATATTAAAAATGATGATTAAGTTCCTTAATAATCTATTTAAATTACAACCCAATTTCATTTCAAAAGAACAAATGATTTTAAAAATCATAAATTAATTCATATACCAATTGAAATTATGCTATAAATATTTAAACATTTACAAAAACAAGGAGATAACCATTTACTTTTTTCTTGCCTTTTTGTAAATAAATATTAGTATAATTATGTTGCTTCTTTATTATGGAATAATCCTTTTAAATGAAAATCTGCTAAATATTCTTATCTAAATACTTTTCCACCTATATTAAGAAGTTTTACATATAAGAAATGATACAACAAAATAATAAGTTCAAGGTGATAGAAATATATTTATCATGTCTTAGTAAAAATGATTTTGATTTATTAAAATCATATAACCTCGAGCTTTCTACCTTTCAAGAAGGATGCTTTTAAATTATCCCATATATCTAAAACATCTTAATTATAATGATTTAGAAAACACAGTTAACTTATATTTGACCAATAGATTTTCTGATTTAAAAGAGAACAGAGTAAAATTTCAAATTATAACAAAAATACTCTTCAAATTAATTTTACAGCAATCGATAAATCTAAAAATTCTTACAATAAAGATCAAAATCATGAATTATGAAATTCTGAATTTACAAAATTTTCCAAGCAAACAACCTGGATTATCTAATCTCATAAGAGTTGAAATGAATTATGTTGATTCATTAGTACTGACCTCTAAGAATATCGAATATTTGATAAAATTAATTTCATTAAATTGTGATCAAATCTGTTATTTAGATATTAGTTTAAACCCTACGGTATATTCTCTCGATATCATTCATTACATAGCTGATATGATTAAAGCTCAAAAATATTTAACAGAATTTAGTATATCTTTTGTAAAATTAAATTTTGATCCAATAATGTTTGCTTTATTATCTAAAAGGTTTAGCTTAATTTCTGTTAGATTTACTAACATTAAGTTTACCAAGACATCCAACAATCTCTTAAAAGAATTTAATATTTTAAAAGATTTAAATTTGGTTCATTGTGATGGAGCTTGTAATGATATTAATGATATTTTAGAAATTGATTCAATATTTAAAATCAAAAAGGTAAGAAATAATGAATAAAATAATTATTTTTAAAAAATTCGTGGAATTTGATTTTGGGCGTTCTCAAACATCTTCCTCAATGCATCAGGATCAATTTAAATAAGGTTTTCAATCAATATAGAGCGGCTTCTCTACATTCTTAAGTTTAAAATGAACCAAACTAATAAAAGATTAAAAGGACAATTACCAAGCGACAGGGACACCAATGAAAATTGATAAATTTTAGCCAATCAACGTAAAAGAATATTCATATCTTCAAAATTAATTGATAAATGTTACACGGAAATTTGATGTATGACGATTAATCATTGCGGGTCCAATGCTTTTCGAATATTAAAATTAAACAATTAAACAATGTAAATTTCTAAAATAAATAATCACACGCACTTATTAATAGCTCGCATGCTAAGTTTAATTTTTTAAATCATCGTATTTACAAAAATAGCTAGTTTCTTTCCCTAAAGCGGTGCTTCTTTGTTTACCAAATTTAAAGAATCAAAAGAATTAGTTATTCATTTAAGAATAGTAATGATTGACGTATTATTTTTTCTACGAATATTTTTCGATTAGAATGATTGAATCAATGTTAACATGTAAGTAAAGCTCCAAAAAAAAAGCGTCGTTTAAATAATTTTAGGATTTATTTTATTAATTAAAGAAAAAATATAATTATAGAACAAAGCTCCTTCTTTAAGAATCGATGTAGCGAACCATTATAAAAATGAATCTACGATCAGGCATATACATAAGTTTACATAGTTAAGGTTTCAGATTAACCCAATGTGAAACACAACGCATTAAATTTCTAAATTTAAAAATATAAATATATATATGTATATTTTTTCTTGCCTGAAATTATTTTTTTTTTTTTCCTTCTTTTTCTTCTTTTGATATTTGAAAGCAAGAATATGAAAATTTTAGGCCTATTCTGTTCATTCTTTAAAAGAAAATCAAAACATAAAGAAAAAAAGTTCACAACACCTGCGCAAACTTTGCCAACAGAGTGCATGAAAAGAATATTTCAACATATTCATGATGATTCCACATCAAAATTATATCCTTCTTTATTGGTAAATAAATATTGGTGTAAAAACGTTGTGACATTTTTATGGAATCGACCATTCCAAATGTGCCCAAAACATAATCGATACAAGCTTATCAGAACGTTGTTAACGTTCTTTAGTTTAGAAGAGACCACATTAATCAATTCTAAATTAAAGGCTTATAACATTCTAATACCTGCGCGACCTAATCCCATATTTAATTATTCTTCCATGGTACAAGAAATTTCTTATATGGATTTAGAAACCTTTGTTAAATCATATTTAACAAAAATAACCACGGGATGTTATAATGATATCCAAAAAGTACAAATTCTTTTCATCACCATTTCATTATTTCAAATGTTCTTACGACAGGGTACCAACATTAAAACTCTCGTAATTGATAAAGAAATTTATACGATGGATTTACCAGACATTTCTATTTTTACTGAATCACACCCTTCAGGTTCCACTAACCTCTTTCAACTTAGAATCGATTATAATAGTATTAAGATTCGTAATATAATTCAATTTCTAAAATATATTTCAGATGTATGCAAGGACATTCAGATTTTAGAATTTAAATTCAACATAAATGCTTATAGTGATGAATTATTACAATCAATTTCCAATACCATAACTAAACAAAATAATTTACGAGAATTTAGTTTATCAAATACAAAACATATTGGAATCGAATCAGTGATGATGTCATTGCTCGTTCATGTTAATACGCTAACTTCAATTTCATTGGCTTTCCTTAATTTGGAACAAAAATCCATGGACATTCTTTTGAATCTTAAACAATTAAAAGAACTTAGGATATGGTTCTGTGAAGGATTAAATCATTACTCTTCGATTCACAGATTTGAACTCAACACGTTACATTTGGTGGAATTATCTTCCTCTGTGAAAACAAGACGGATTACACAATCCATCTTGCAATCAACAGGAAATTCTATTACACAATTAGGATTTAACATTCAATATATAGAAAATCTTGATATAACATTAACTTATTGTCCAAATGTTGAAGAAATAATTCTTTTTTATTTGTCTAATGATAAACAAAATAGAAAATTTACCACTAAAACTACAA